TAAATAATTGCACGTGATTAGTGCTGAAAAAGCAGGATAGCTGCCGAAAGAGCAAACAGGTCTTGGGGGAGCTGGGATAATCGCCATAGTTAGGCGATGCTTAGAGTTGTTCTCTTGTGGTAGAAGGCAGTATGTTTGCGAGGAGAGTTGAGAAGATGTTCCCAGAAGATGGAGCAGTTTGGTCAAAGGTATAGATGCAAAAAACTACAATGTACTTGGGGTGAGAATTGCTGTTTCTGGAAATTAGTATATAGGGGAATTGGAGTTGATGCCAGGGCAGGGATGATCAGGATTTGTTGCTGTTGTTACCGAGTTGTAGGAGTTCCTTATATGTTTTGAAACCAACCCCTATGGGATATATTCTTTGTGAATATACAAGGGTGAGCAAAAGCAGGTTTACAGTTTATATGGAAAACAGTGCCGTAATTAATGAATAATACAAGAATAAACTCTGTTTTGTGTACTCACAACTGTAAACCTCCTTTTGCCTCACGTTATATTGTCCCATTCACTCAGTTGCCTGTGAAGGCATCTACTCCAGGACTTTTGTTTGTGGGGAGTTTTTTGATTACTGATTCAATTTTGTTAGTAGTTATCAGTCTGTTCAGATTTTCTCCTTCTTATTCACTCTTGGTAGATTGGATATTTCTGAAAATTTATCCATTTCTTCCTGGTTGTCCCATTAGTTTGCATATAATTGCTTGTAGTATTTTCTTATAATCCTTTGTATTTCCGTGGTATCAGTTGTCACTTTCCCTTCTGATCTCACTTATTGGGGGCCTCTTGCTTTTTCCCTTGATGAATCTGGTTAAACAATGATCAATTTTATTTATCTTTTAAGGAACCAGCTCCTGCTTTAAGTCCCTTTAGCAGGATTCTTGTAATGCTGGTTTGGTGGTGAAGGATTCCTTTGACTTTTTCTTGTTTTAGAAATTCTGTCTTTCCTTTGATTCTAAGTAATAGCCTTGCTGTGTAGAGCAATCTTGGTTGTAGGTATTCGCTTTTCGTGATGTTGAATATTTCACACACTCCCTCTGGAATGCAAAGTTTCCATCCAGAAACTAGCTGATAATCTAGCAGAAACTAGCTGGACAAGGCAGCTCCCTTGTATATAACTAATTGCTTTTCTTTTGCTGCTTTTAAGATTCTCTCTTTGTCTTTAACCTTTGGCATTTTAATTATGATGCATCTTGCTGTGGGCCTCTTTGGGTTCATTTTATTTGGTATCCTCTCTTCTTCCTGGACTTGAATGCCTACCTCCTTTACCAGCTTAGGAAAATTTCCAGTCATTATTTCTTAAAATAAGTTTTCAATTCCTCTCTGACTCTCTTCTCCTTCTGGTACTCCTATGATGCAAATGTTGGTATATTGATGTTGTCCCAGAGGTTTTTTTAAACTGTTATCATTTCTTAAAAAATTTTAAATCTTTTTGTTGTTATTGTTTTGTGTGGTAGAGCCTTTGGAAGAGACTCAGACCTGCTAGGTGACCCATTGTTGTGGGGTCTCAGGAAATCACAACCCAGGGAAACAGCATTAGCCAGGGTAACAGAGAGCTCAGATTTGGCACCTGCCTGTGCTGCCCTGGCTGGGTGGAGGGGGACCGCCACAGAGAAACAGTGGCACCTGCCAGCACTTCTGTCCCTGGAGAGAGGTGATCTGACCCCTGTCCCTCTATCCCTTCCCCTAAGTTACTCAAGTTAGTTCTCCCATGTCTGCCCTTGGTGCTCTTTGAGCTGCTGTCCCTTCACCAGAGTTGAGAGCAAGTAGGTTTGTGAATAAGTAAATCTGTGTGTGGCCTTGTGAGAGCTCAGCCTTAGTCTCCAGCAGCCCCCTTTCCATCTTGGATGCCATCCTCACCGGCTTTCACAGCCACATGTTGTGGGCTTTCCTGTTCCTGGCTCTGGTGCTCAGATCTGGGGAGTCCAGGGTGGGGCTGGGCCCCTCACTCAACAGGGGACATGCGCAGTGGGGATATCCCTCCCAATTCTTAATTGGCACTCCGTGGTTTGGGAACCTGTTCATTCTGCATTGCTACCCAGCCTACCAGCCTTGATGTGGCTTCTTCTTTAAATCTTTAGTTATATGAGTTTTGTTCAGCTAGTCTTCAAGTTCTGTTTGGTGGTGGTTCTGTCATTTAGTTGTGGTCTTGATGTGGCCATAGGAAGACATGAACACAGCCTTTACCTACTGCACCATCTTGAGTGGAAGCCAAAATAATCCTTGTATTACAAGAGACTAAAGGATTTAATCTTATAAGGGATGTATGACCTGAAAGGAAGTGAGACTGAGAGAGGCAAAGTTTATTATTTGAATGTTTGGAGCTTGGAAATGTCTTTGTTTTGTTAATTGATGTGTAAACATGTAGCTACTTTGCCCTTCTCTTTGGCCATAGGAAGAATCAACCTATTTTAACAAATGACTCCCATCATCACTAATATGGTGATGTGATCACTAGCATCCTCCTCATATATAGAGAGTTGCATATAGGTTTAAAAAGCAGCGGAAGAGATGGCTATACAAGGGTTATGCAAATAAGAGTGGTGTTATGAACAACTTACTATGTTGTGTGGTGGGTTGAAGTCTCACATGGATCTCTTTATCCCTAGTGTCTGGCGTGATACCTGGTACACAACAGACATTGTAATGCGTGGGTGAACAAATCCCTGAAATTCATCTTTTTAAAAGCTTGACCCTGCTGAGTACATTAAACTTGTGGACCAGAGAAGAACACTTGAGACTAAATTTACTTAGAAGGTCAAACAGAGCAAACATCATCCAGATGATTGCTGGACCAAATTCGACATACATTGTGTGGTTGCTGATAAGAATAAGAGTTTGTGTCCTTAGAAGGTGGCAAATAATTGACTTTTGCTTGATCCTTCATGTTTTACAAGAAGAAAGTCTAGATGATGGGATAGAAACAGTTTGTCATTGTGTATTGATGAATAGTGGAAACTTGCATAGTTGGTTAATGTTGCTTAAAAAAACCTATTACGTTTCAGACCTACTTGTTATACCATTGTATTCATAAGTATTCCTGCCTATGAGATGAGTGATGATGGATGCATGAGAGAGCTGTGTTGAATGAAGGTAAAGATGCGTGAAAGTGTACGTACCTTTTCTGGGCATAACTGACTTCCTTCTTTCTTTACCTGTTTGTGTTCTACCCCTGAAAGGACTAATTTTATTACGTGCATTCACAGCTATCTATCTTGGAGTTCAAATGACCTCGTAAGGACCTCCATGAGACTATAAGGATGCTGAGAAACAGTTGGGATTATCTGCACATCATTACATTCTCAGTATTTCTTATATTATCCTGTTATCAGTATCCTTCCTCCTTTCACCTCTGTCTTCTACCTTGACTTGGGAGGCCTTCTCTGTTCCTATTTAATTACTGATTCAGTTTTTTTCTATGAAAAAATGACTACTAACTATATATCATGAATTATGTTCATCTGGGGCCCAGTCTTATGAGTGGTAACTATAAGTAAGTGAGGTGGTGTTTACTCCCCTAAAATTCATGAGCAAGGCCACAAGGAGAAAAATAAAGCTTCCTGCCCTGGTCAGTGTGGCCCAGTTAGTTGGAGCTTCATCCAAAAGGCTGCGGGTTTGATCCCTGGACAGGGCCTGTGTGGGAACCAGCTGATGTTTCTCTTTCACAGCAATGTTTCTCTCACTGCCTCTCCCTTCCTCTCTTCCTCTTTCTCTAAAATCAATAGAAACATTTTTAAAAGAATGTTTAAAAGAACTATGTAATTGTGGTTCTAAATCAAGGGTCTACATTTCTAAAGTTGTGGAGTAGTTTAACATATTTACATTAAATGTACCCCCTTTATTTCTTTATATCCTTTTGTTCTATCGTATTCCAAAAGCAAAATTTATCAAACCCACAGAAGATCCACTGATCTGTCATCAAATCCTCTTCCCCTGGTAAGAGAAGCTTCCTTTGAGGAACTTTCCTTCATCAATCTCATCAACTGAAAACCTTTGTTTCAAAACCAGCAAATGCAAAACAGAACAGAGCTTTGTTAGATGAAATATACAGAGTCTCTAGAAATCTGTCAGGTTCTGTCTGATACAGCAACTCTTGGTTGGACTACTTTTCTGTTGAAACAAAAAGTAATGTTGAAAGGATTTTAGGTTCTGAGGACTAGACTGTGATTCACATTATGGTAGTTTATTCATATCCATCAATGCATTTAGAAAAAGGAGTATTTGATTGTTTTGCAACATGTTTGTGAATTGTAAAAAAGGTAAGACGACAGATAAAAATCCTCCAAATTCTCCGTAAAGAAGAATAGATTTGTGATTCTCCAAGTCTATTCATTCTTCTGCCTTAAGTTAAAAATGCAGAAGATCCTCTCTATAAAGAAACAAATTTAGACGGACACATTTTTAGCTTGATTCTATAAAGGGTTGAAAGAAAATACTTTTAGGAAGAGAAGAAGCCTGGGACCTTCTTTGTATCAAAAAGAAAATTTAGGAAAAGGATCAAAACCTTTTATTTTTCTTCCATGACTTAATAATTCAATTGTATTTTTCTTTCCCCTAAGGAAAAATAGCCATAAACAGTGATTGCAATAGTTAAATAAGTATTTTTCTTTAACAATCTTATAACAACTTTAAGATCAACTGATTTCCAAATTTAATTGATTCCTTCGTAAGAAATACCACTTTAAAATGAAATTCTTGCATTCTGGAGAGTATTATGAACAGCCAAAAAGCAAGAGAAGGCCATATTGTTTTAAAACATGCTTGAATAAGTAAATGTTTGGCAGACCACTGATAGTCAATAACATTTTTGGGAAGATTTTGGGATGATCTGCTTTTCATTAAGCATATTTACACTTTAATGCCTCATGAATGAAGTCAAGCTTTACTATAGAGAAATGCTAAGAAATGTGAAAATGTATATAGTTTTGCTGTATTAAGATCACCATTATCTAAGAGATTCAATTGACCTGATTTTGAAAATCAGCTTGGCGTTTGATTTCCAGAGGGCACAGTCCGACGAACTGGAAAAAATTGAAAAGCATGGCCGGTCCTCCAAAGACAAGGAGAATGCCAAGTCTCTGGACAAGCCTGAACAGTAAGAGCACCTTACAAATCTGCAGGGGGCATCCAAGCTATGGGTGGGCTCCCTCCACTCGGAAAATCCAGTGTCTTCTGTTCATAGTTGTTGGGAATGATATGAAGTTGAACGTGTTTATAGGGTCTGTTTTTCCCCTTAACTTGGCGTTATTTTCTTAGGTTTCTATATGAGCTGTCCCTGATCCCCAACTTCTCCGAGCGAGTCTTCTGCATCCTGTTCCAGTCGACATTCTCAGAAAGCATTTGCTCCATTCGCCGCAAACTGGAATTGCTGCAGAACTTATGTGAGGTGGGTTGCGACCTGCAGAGAGCTGCAGCTTGGATTCTGATACATAATTGGGTTCAGGCATGTTCATATGTCACAAAAGGTTTTATTTATTATTTATTCTAAGTGCTCATAAAATTTAAAACGTAGCAGATCTACAGAAGAGATCATACTGTGTTTGAGGTTCAAGAACAAAGCAGATGTGCAGGAAGGCGCACGGGTCTGCAGGGGACTCTGGTGCCTGAATGTGGTCATTGCTGATAGACCTCTGGAGACCTTTGTCCCTTCTGCTTTTGTCAAAGTAGAACCTTCACTTTTCATGGTCCCCTCATACATCAGACTTACAATTAAATGCAATTTCAGGGCATTTTCTTTTTTTCTTTTTCTTTTCAGTACTTTTTTCTCTCCCCCCCCCGGCATTTTCTTTTTTTCCTTCATCTTCGGAAGGGTTCCTCAATAAAACATGCATGATTCCAACCAAATGATTTAGGAACAGCTGTGTGGTTCCACAGAAGATCAGTATTCTTCTGAAAACAAGAAATTCTTGCTAGAAATCGGCATTATTAACATTTAAAACAATTTGTCATAAATCAATGGAACCATTTCTTCTGGTTGTGGCAAATCATTTTAAAAAATTGTTAGAAGTTATCAAAGGCACATTTTCAGAGGAAGTGACATGCAAATTCAGATTAAACTTGGTGTTTTGGAGAAGTTAAGTATGAATTTGTTAGGGATAAATCTAAATTTGGACACTAATACTTATAACTGTGTTTTAGCTTACCACAACTATGCCAAAAATGTCTGTTGCCCCAGAGGTAGGTACAATTAGGATAATATCAAGGACATTCTTTTGTAGTCGTTGTCATGGTATAATCTTATTTGTTTCTTAGAAATGGCCTAGATTTTTTTCACTTGGAGACACTTCTCTTGAAATATAATAATGAACAATAATAAAGTTGAGAGATGACCCAAAATGATTAGTATAACATGAATATCAGCCAAACAAAATGTTGTATAACTGAGAAATTGCTCTTTATTCTGTTTTTCAGACTTTAAAAAATGGCCCGGGGGTGATGCAGGTTCTGGGTTTGGTTCTTGCCTTTGGCAACTACATGAATGGTGGAAATAAGACTCGGGGACAGGCAGACGGTTTCGGATTAGACATTCTCCCGAAGCTGAAAGATGTCAAGAGCAGCGTAAGTGTTTTGCATGAGTGAATGTAGGCACGTGGAGGATTAGATGTCTTGTTGAGGAATAAGCTTGCCTATAACCCAGTTGCAATAAATATTTCTTTAAATTCCAAGGGCAAAAGTTTCTTTATGTTCTGAACTAGGTAAAAGTCACGGCCATCATATATTTGTGATTTAGCGAATAATAATGTTTCCTAAAGTGAGGGGTTTTGAGTTCTATGCATAATGAATAATTAAGTAGACAATATTTGGAAATAAAAATATTTTTTTCACTCTACCATGAGTGATAATATTTATGTTTTTGGGCCCTGAGGACTAGTTAATTCCCACAAATTAGACAGTGTATCCATCACTTTTTTTCCCCTCCATCTTAAGCAAAACAAAGATGAGTAAAAATAGTTTATACATAAAAGATGATTGTTTTTCTACATATAATCTCCTGATGCTCGTATGTATCGGAGCATCTGAGTCGTTTTGCAGCCTAATTACTTTTTGGTCCCACTACAGTAGTTGTGTTTCTTTAAAATTAACTTCTAAGAGACTATGAGAGTGTCAGTGCAAATTCAAGTTTAGGGGAACAACCATGGTGGTAAAGAGCTGGAATCTGAGACTGTGAACTTTGAAAATAAAAGAATTCTGTTTCTCTGATAAGAGAGCATCCACACAGACCTCTCTAATGAAGGAAATTGGGGTTAGGATTTTATACAATTGTTTACTATTGAATGTAAGTAAACAGTTGGCTTGTAGAGATGAGAATACATCCAGTTGTTCTTCCTCGGTAATGAATTAAACTCTCTTCTAAAAAAGAGGTGCTGCCCATTATTTTCCGTCAGCCAACAACTTGTCGATTCACTCACACGTCCACGCAGCCACACGCGGTGTGTTTCCAAAATTGAGGAAAACACAGTCCCTTCTTGGAACACCAACGACATATAAGTGTTTTGATTTTCATGACTGTTTTTGTTCAGATGCTATTTTATTTGTATGATGTGTACTTCCAGAGGGACCTGCAGGTATGTCAACCTTAAAAATCACATTTGCTCAAAAACAAAAGCTCTCTGAACTCGTGGTGGTTCCTGAATACTTCTTAGCCACTGCTTGTTGGGTTGAAACAGTAACTTTTGAAAATAACATAGGAAAATATATACCACTGACCTAAGGTTTAACTTATAAGAATGTATCTGGCCCTGACTAGTGCAGACCAGCTGGTTGGGCAACATCCCACAAACAGAAAGGCTGCTGGTTCAGTTCCCTCTCAGGGCTCATGGCAGGGTTGCGGGTTTCGTCCCTGGTTGGGGCACATACAAGAATCAACCAATGACCCCATAAATAAGTGTAACCAAAAAATCAATGCTTCTTTCTCATGTTGAAGTTTTTCTTCCTCCCTTTCTCCCTTGTCTCCGGCCTCTCTAAAAATAACTAAATAAAATCTAAAACAAATGTATCTGAAGTGATTTTCATAATCCTTTTATATATGAACAAAGGATTTATTTTATTTGGTTGACATATCTTATCCAATTCCCCAATAAGTTAAATCTGATCAGTTTAAATCACCAAGGAGTAATCTAGACAAAAATTAAACAATGATTCAGGAAGCAGGAGTTTTTAAAAAAGAAATTCACTTGTGTTCTCACAAAAGCTGTGTAAACTCTTCCTGACTTGGTTCTTTTTCTGTCACACAAATGTAACTGTTCTCTTTAATACGATCTGTAAACCTGCCTGTTACTCAGGCCACTCCGAATTTTCATTAGCATGCTATCAGCAGGCATTTAATAAATGTCTTGTTAACTGATTCAGATACTGCTAACCATTTCCCTGATTTACAGCTTAGAAAAGTAAAGGAGGTCAAATAGCTTACATTATTTCACAAGCAAATCTTGTTTCTAATAAATGCATTTAATTAACATTAATATGGCTATATATTACTATGTAATAGATATTACAGTATTAGTAATCATTACTACCACTACTGCTACTACGTATTACTATGAAGGTTGTCTCTAACACGTGTGTTACCATATCATGTCAAGCCCAATTATAAAGGGATGTTACTCTTTTTATAAATACAGGGAAAGTTACGGATAGGTTGAACTTTCTAGGGAATGTAGTTAGTATCCTAGGGTTTTTTTTTTATTTTAATTTTTTTATCATTAGTGTTTGAATACAGTTGTCTCCGTTTTCCCACCACTACTTCCCCCCGCCCCACCTCCCACCCTCAATCCTGCCCCCTTTTGGCTTTGTCCATGGGTCCTTTATACATGCTCCTTATATACATATATCTTTGGTCTCCTACATTCAGATGATCTAATACTAACTTTGAGCCATGCCAGAAAAATAATTTAAAAAATGATGCTTCATAAAGATAGTAGTTACACCTCTTAATAACAAAATATAAAGATCAATACACTGATTTCCTGGCGCAGGAGAAGGAAAACAGGAAAGCATTTGTAGCTGACACCCCACGCTTCACCAGCGGTGCTCAGCACTGCAAGCTGACATGGGAGGAGAAACAGCGTCCTCCGGGCCATGCTTGGGCACCGTCACTAATGTAATTTGAAATAGACAATTTCACATTTCATCCTAATTGTTCTCATTGGTACACACTGAGTTCCTGGAGTTTGTTTTATTTAACACTGCCTAGTTAATAATTTCCCACAAATGCATTTTTTACTTACTTTGGTTTTTCTGCCTAGGACAATAGTAGAAGCCTTCTGTCATACATTGTTTCCTATTATCTTCGGAATTTTGATGAGGTAAGACGATTTTTGCATATAGGTATATTTTGTTATTCTGTGTTGTTGGATGATTTGACCTTGTTTGTTTTTGTTGTTTTGCCATTGCTGCTACTGTGTGATCCTTCTTCATATTAATGCTGATTTGTTTAAAAATTGTGTGTTTCCTGCTGATCAGGATGCCGGAAAAGAACAGTGCGTTTTCCCGTTACCAGAACCACAGGATCTTTTCCAGGCTTCACAGATGAAGTTTGAAGACTTTCAAAAAGATCTCAGAAAACTGAAGAAAGACTTGAAAGGTAACTTACAACCTTAGAGAAGCTCACACTTGTTCTTTATGCTTTTTTTTTTTTTTTTTGCTTTTAAACCAGAATGATATTTATTGAAAGGGAAAAGCTGCTCATGACATATTGGTGAACATGTGTGTAAAATTACATACACAAAGTCGATGTCTTTTTAAAGAGAGAAAACAAACTTTTCAATGTTCTTAGACAGACTGTCTTTCACAGGCTTGTAGAATTAAAGATTGCTTGGCGTGACAAAGAAATCTTACTCCTTTGTTATTTAAGAAGGGATGTGTATTAGAAGTTTAGTTTTGGAAAACTCTTGGTTATTTGAATAGCCATCTTTTTCATCAGGAGAAAATTTGATTGTCTTGTTTTTACTTTATAGCCAAGAACATTTGTACATTTATCTTGTCAGTGTGAAAAGATGACTCGTCCTTCCCTACCCTCCCTTTGTGTACTTGCCCAAGATTCTGAGGCTTGTAAAGTTTCCTGAGAACAAAATATCTTCCTTCACATATTTGGTCAAAAGGCACATCTGTGTATGTTTTATTGTTAGTTGAGAAGCCTTACATCAAACCATTTAGAAGAAAATCGAAAGTTCTTCAGATTTCCAAATTAGAAGTAACATGTACACTAAAGCAAATAGTTTTACACTTTAAAAAATTATTTCTGTAAGTACAACCCCTTTTATTCCCTGTTCATGAGGCTTCTTATTGGTATGGAGCCCAGAACACCTCAGCTGTCAATTTAAACCCCTATGTATTGGATTGGCCAGAAAGTTCATTTGTTTTTCTCCACACCATGACTCTAGTAGTGCGTAGTTGTCTTTAACTTCATTTGAAACAGGTTCGTTAGATTGCATTGTGACAGCTGTCACATCAGCGTGCATTTTTAAAAAGCTTATCAGAATTGGTGAGTTTTTGTGCAGCCATTTTAATAATTGAAGATGGAAGAAGATACACAACATTTTCAGGGTACTATGCTTTATTGTTTCAAGATAGGTAAAAGTGCAGCTGAACCACAAAAAAAAAAAAACGTGTGCGATGTATGTAGGAGGTGCTGTGACTGATCAAATGCATCAAAGTGGTTTGCAAAGTTTCTTGGTACTGTTACCATTTTGGCCAAACAGTTCTTTGCTGTGGGGCTCTCTTATGCATTGGAAGATGTTTAGCAGCACCCCTGGCCTCTACCCGCTAGAAGCCAGTAGTGGGAGATAGCCGACATACTCAAAATACCTAAATCAGTAAAGTTATTGGTGAAAATGAAAAATGTGTCTTTCATTTTATGGAACAAACTAAATGGACTCTTTGGCCAACCCAATAACTCTATTAAGCACAGACAGGGAGTGAATAAATTTACGTGAGATTTTCATTTGATGTGTTACTGCAGAAAAATTACTCCTGTACAGAAACCAAAAAGATGATGTAACTTTTTAAGTGATTCTACCCCAATTTTAAAATTGGGGTAGAATCCATATTCATCTATATGGATCAGAATCAACACAGTAACGTTATATAGTTTGCTTGTAGTTCCTAAACACTCAGCAAACTTGTGATGATCCTGAGCATGTGCATTTGTAGTACTGGGGGCACTCCCCAATGTGGGTGGTCACTTCCTGAACCCAAGGATGACTTCCTTGTTTTAAAAATAAATAAAATTATGGTATGTTTGTTTAACACCATTGCTATGTATTTAAGCATGATTTTTAAAAACAAGGAAAAACAAACTATCCATATATACTACTTATCATACTTCAAAATTATAGCAGGTATATTGGCTTATTGGTTTGCTAGCATTTCCGGGGTATCAGAAATAGTTCATACTTTGCTCAGTGATTCAGTCTTGTAAAGCAGGATTTTATAGTTTACAGGTGGTTTCATAAAGAAGAAGAATGGTCATCTTACTACTAGGGGATTAATGTTTGCCAAAGGTTGGAATGTTATGGCATTTATTTTTCATACTTGTATACTTTCTTACAATCATTATTAAATATACCTGTAGCCATGAAAATAGCAAGTTCTCATAAGACTTAGGTAGAGCGAAACAGAGAGAACTAACAGACCCCACATGATGGGTTTGAAAAGGACCGGTAAACACTCCATTGTCCTACTTCCTATTGTACATTGGTCTTCCCCAGCAATGCGGTGGCCACAGAAGGTGTATCTTAGCAATGTTTGAGTGCGTCAGAGGGGTAAGATGGTAATGATTTTAACACGAAGGGTTTGCTCTTTATATGTAATAAGGCAGGCTTCTCTGAAAGGTCTATTTCCTCAACCGGCCCCTGAGCATTTCCCTACCGTAGTATTTTCTCAAGTGTGTAAACAGTTTGATGTCCTAGAAACAGGGTGTTTTCATGACCACGTAAATATAAAGAATTCACAGTGTTCTCTGAAAGAAGGGTTAGCAGTTCTCCAGTGTATTTGACCAGGAAGCACTTGTTTTTCACAGAATATCTGCTTGGTTCTCTAGTTGGTGGAACACATTTCAAGAAGCACAGGCCCGGTTCCATGTTAGTGACGGAAACGTGGCACTTGTCTTTGACAAGCTTACAGCGAAGGTGGGGAAATGAAACTACAGTTCGTGAAATAGTGCAGTTATGTCTTGCTGTTCTCATCAAATGTGAACAGCTTGAGCTATTTACAAGGCTGAGGCATCCTTTAAACACTGACAAAAAGCATAATTTAATCATACCTCTTTTTTTTTTTTTTGCTTTTCCAAAATTTGAGATTTTGTATAGAAAATCAGATGTTTTGTAACACAAGGAAGGAAATCTTGTGAGCCAAAACTTAATTAAATTCAATTTCTGGGAAGGATTCGGCATGCATGTGGCATTTCCTACCTACAAGGCATAAAATCAAACTGCCTCATGTCCCTGTTTGGAATGAGATGGGTCAAAATAAATGTGGTACGTGCAAACATTTGACTAAATGGGAGTCAAATGGGAGATGATTGTATTATGTTATTTTGGACATAATTAGTTTAAAATAATGTGTATTTTGGTAAATGTAGTCTAGTAACAATGATTCCTTCTAAGTGATTAAATTAGGTGATTCATGTAGGAAAGGTCAAGCCCTGGCTGGGTGGCTCAGTTGGTTGGAGCATTATCGCCTACACCAAAGGTTGTGGGTTCGATTCCTGTTCACGGCACGTGCCGAGGTTGCAGAGATCAATGATCTCTGGTCAGGGTGCTACAGAACTGACCGATGTTTCTCTCTCATATCAATGTTTCTCTCTCTCTCTCTCTGTCTTCCCCACCCAGCCCCTCCCTTCCCCTTCCTCTCTCTCTAAAATCAGTGAACATTTCCTCAGGTGAGGATTAAAATCATTAGAAGAAGATTCAAATATCCTGCCCACATTTTGTCAGAAGCAAGTTGTTTTAAGGAGGTTTGAAAAAAATGAGATGATATATGTAAAGAATTTATCCCCATTCTTTCCATTTGATAAATATCCAGTAAATATTGTCTATTCATAATAAGGAAAAAATGGAATAAATAGTGTGATTAGTTAGATAAAGAGATAAGAAGAGCCATTAAGACACTCATTTTCTGGCTGAATCATTTCCTCTGCCTCAGGTTAGAGACTTGACTTATTTTTAAGGAAAGACCGAGAAGTAATGGGAGATGGCTCAGACGTTTTCCGAAGACAACTGAATCTCATGTTAACGTCATGAGAACAGAGCGTCCCCTGCGTTTGGTTTCTCTGCTTGTTCCCACGATTTCCACAGGGGGCCCCTGGCGCTCGGAGCCCAGTAACATGTGGTTTGTTAAGCAACCTGATCTGCTCTTGATCTCTTCTGGCTGTCAGCAGCTTCGCATGGTGAAGCCATGCCAAATGATGATTTCTGGTCCAGTGCCTTCCTTGGGTAGAAACTGTAGCACTTGCCACATGACTTAAATCAACTCAACACGTACTGAGCATTGGGTAATTGAGTTACCGGAACTGGGCGAGAATGTTTTCATGCAAATTCTTCCCTGTATCCTCTATTCCCCCCCTCACCTCCAGTGCCTGACTCCAAAATGCTTAAAATTATAATTAACTCTGTCTTCAAGTGGAAGTAATTTCAGTATCCAGAGGTATGGGAAAACCGAGTCTTTAAAATTGTTTGTATTGATGTATTTGTGTTTATGCCAATTATTTTTACAATTGCAAATATCTGATATTTATTTTTTGTTTGAGGAAAGAAAAATGACGTTATAAACTCAGTTCAAATACAACCAATAACTTCTTTTAAAATAAGTTTTTACTAAAATTTACAAACGAATATCAGTTCAGCATAGAAGATTAGAGAATACTGAAAAACATCATGTAGAAAATATATTTACCTATAATCCTACAGTCTAATGGTAAATAACCTTAATATTTTGGTATATTTTCATCTGGTGTGTGTGTGTTGTGCATGTATGAACTATACCACTTGAGCTGTAATGTGTATAATTTTTGTTCATATATTCTTTGCTTTATAATTGGATAATTTAATCTATCTACATGTGCATCATGTCTTCCTTATTTTTTTTATTGTCTTGACAAATTGTTCTATGTTCTTTCCCTGACTCCTCCAATATATTTGGGAAGCTACAGATAGTATTTTTATTTATTTGTTGGCTGGTCTTCAATGTTAACATATTTTTGGTAATTTATGTAATTTTATAACATGCTATACATTGATACATATTTTTATCTTCCCAAATAAGATAGGTGTTTTAGAACATTCTAACTAATAGTTAAACTACTTTTCATCTTTCTCCTACTGACTTTTCAGGGTTTTAGTCCTATTATTTTTCTTTTAGAAATTACTGATACTTTGTATTCATTAGGTAATAATATGTCAGCATATTTAATCAATCTTTATGCTGACATTATTGCATCCTATTTTTACCCTTCTCATTTAGCTGTTGCCTCAATGAGGGTTGGTACATGTTAAACTGTTAGTCCAAAAATGATGGAAAAAAATTCCCCCCCATTTTTGAATGATTATTTTGCTGGGTGAAGTAGTTTAGGTCAACTTATTTTTT